ATTGAATAACTATTAATGTTATATATCCCAGAAGCGCTCAGGCATTACTATGAATGCCAGGACTTCAGCCTGGGTGAACCAGAAAGGATAGACAACATTTCCCTACATCGAACGCGATTGAATAACTATTAATGTTATATATCCCAGAAGCGCTCAGGCATTACTATGAATGCCAGGACTTCAACCTGGGTGAACCAGAAAGGATAGACAACATTTCCCTACATGGAACGTGACCGAATAACTATTAATGTTATATATCCCAGAAGCGCTCAGGCATTACTATGAGTGCTAGGACTTCAACCTGGGTGAACCAGAAAGGATAGACAACATTTCCTTACAGCAAGCATGGTTCAATAACTAATGTGTACCAGAATTGTCAGACATTATGTTGAACATATTGACAAAAAAGTGATTAAACAGAACTATAAATTCCAAAAAAATAATTTTACACTTAAATGTAATTTCAAGGAAAAATTTCTTTAAAAATCGAGGAATGATGACTGTGACATGCTGCTGCAGGTGGAAACATTTTATTATTTTAAATGTTTTTTTTTTCTGGGTAAGCTTTCTCTGAGTATACTTAAGTTCTCTGTTGCAGTAAATCTTTTCAGCAACTTGAGTGCACCTGAACCATTTCTTCACAAAATGTAACCTGATTTAACAGGTATGTCTCTGCAACATCTTTGTTCTGGAAAAAGGACTTAAGAGTTTCCTTGGGTAGTGATCGCGTAACAATCTCATCAATGTTCTCCAGGAACCGGCGTTCAGTTGACCCTGGGAAAGTTAAGAATATTATGTTAAATTTATTGTTCAAACCTATTTTATCTGTTTTTTTTGGTTGCACATTGTCAACATAGGTAATTACTTGATTAGTAACCAAAGTTTTTGATTGAGGATAAGATTGATGGTATAGTAAAAAATGAAACAGAGAATGTCTATGATTGAAAAAAAGTACACTAAATCCCAGACTGAATAACTTCAATTCATTACTTATTGGTCATCTGTTAACTCCTTAAAACAGATAGAGAACTGTGTACCTGAAAATGATATTACTTGAAAGTTGTGCCTCTCAATAGCACTTTCCTGCCCTGGTTTGGTCTTGACCACAATCCTGTCTCTCCCCTTCATACTGTCAGGACCATACTCAGAGAGAGCATAATTGCAGTCCTTGAGGCTTCCACAGTCATAAGCAAACATCCCAAGTGAAATTAACAATTGCTCAGTGTTTCTGAGCTCACAATGCAGAGCACACAAATTCACATCACATAGCTCCTCTTCAAGGAGAAAGAGCAAGTCATCTATTAAACCCTTCCATCTGTCATGAAAGAAAAAGAAAAACTCCAAGAACTAACAATGTACCTTTCATTTTTATGGCCCAAACTCACTTACTGCAAGAAACAGGAAAGTAGAATTTCAAAGTGATTCAAAATATGTTTCTTTCGAAAAAGTAAATTACCATACTATAAGTTGCACATTTTTGTGTAACGTGATACAGGAAAACGCAAGAACCTACCCCCCAACATTGGCTTTGCTTTTTAGGAAACACTCGGCACAGGCTTCGCCACGAGGAACGCCAGGACAGGCACATCCCTACAAACAAATGGTATGTAGAACTTGATTAAGAAATAAATTAGACCCACTAATAGACCATTTTATGGTTGAGGGCTTAGTATTCAAGCCTTTGAGTGAATGCGAGGCTGAGCTTTACCTTGTTTAGATACAAACCTCTTTACTTTTCTTATTTTATGGTTTAAAAATAGTAGTTTTAGCACAAGAAAAATAAGATTATATAATAAAGCATGAGAGGTTATATCAAAAGAAGGTCAACTCTAGCCGACATAATAGCCACATGTTTACCAAATAATAAGAATAGTAATAACCAAAGGATAGGGTGCGGGGGCGACAACGACCGGAGGTTCAAACGCTTTTGCTCCAACACCGTGCTTTGTGTAAGTTTCATGTGACAGATGGTCAAAACACGCGTGATCAGATTAAGAGGGTAAAAAGTCACATGCTTGATCACATTGCGTTTGGCATATTCCATTCCTTCTTTAAGTGGAAGTCCAAAGGACTGCTGGCTACATACAACCTGGAGATTAGGATTGCTGGCTCCTCTTGTTGCCCGCAATTATTTATACATCTCAGCATTTCCAAAAACACAGACAAGCTTAAATTTAACCACAAACAGAGTGCATCACAAAAAACCTGAATATGTTTTCTGTTACTTTAGAACTCGCTATGATCATGCATTTAACAAATTAAGGTAAAACCTACCCTTATAACTTTGCAGAATACACAGCATTCTGTGTCTAATCCTCTCTTACAAAGTTCATCACAGTTCTTGTTGGCATTGGCGCCTTTTCGCTTGATAAGCATAATCAGTGCTTTATAATCAAGGGTAACTGTCAAAAAAGACAAGAATGTAAAATAATAATCAATATCACGCTGAAGTTAAAAAATCGATATACAACAAATCTCTTTGATCGTAGATTTTCTACTTAACACCATACTTTGTAAAGTACAGAGTCAACTCAATACTTGGCTAGACATAAACCATCAAAAAAAGTACTAAAAGTAAGGGTAATTAATTACCTGTAAATTTAACTTTAAAGTGCCTTCCATCAACCCATATGCCATGTTTCTTTATTGCCTCTTTCTGACGGTTGATGTCTTTAATAAGGGCCTCAACATCTTCCCTATACAAAAAAAAAAAAA